CAGGAATTTGGGTTGGGGTATGTGAGGGGCTCAGGGCAGGGGGTTCCAGTGTATGATAGGCTCAGATCTAGAGTCTGGGGGAAGGAGGAGTGCAGGAGTGTTATGATGATGTGGCCAGATGGGGGCTTGGCCCAAATTGGTGGTTTGTTGGCCAGGCTTCATTTTTAAATAAAATACTGTGTCAAACACAAAAAGTTTCTCCATTGTCTTTATTTCTGAGAAGGGCAGGGAACCTGTTTTGAGTCAGGAGTCACTGACCCACAGAAAAGCCAGTTGCGGTCACACAAGTGAGATGCAAAAAAAACCCCAAAAAACTCCTCCAACCCCCCTCTCCCTCCAAGCCTCACTAATGTGGCCCTAACCGTGCTGGTGGGAGCAGGGGACATGGTACTGGGGAAGGGTGCTAATGGGTGCTGGGGGAGGGGACAGGGTGCCAGTGGGGGCAGGGATCTGTGGCTGGGGGGCAGGTGAGAGGGAACAGGGTGCTGGGAGGGCAGGGGACAGGGTTCTGTGGCACGGGGCAAGGGCCCAACTCCCCCCTCCCGGGGAGTAGGGAGGCTCCCGTCACGTGCCCCCTCTGGGCTTGACTCCCCCTCCCACAGGTAAGGGTAGTCCCAGCATGCGCCTCTTGGGACTCACCCGGTAAGTTCCTGGCACGCCACAGACCTGGGGCAAGGAAGCAGCCGGCGCATTTCTGGAACCCCTGGAAGTGATGTGCAGCTGCAGAATTTCCGTCCACACTGTGGGAAGCTGCCACTACCTCCATTGTCACTGGAGGTAGGGAGTGGGGGGGAAATGAGGGGCCTGGAATGCCTTGCGATCGACTGGTTGGTGACCACAGACATAGATGGTTACAGGATGCTTAACATAATGAATGCTAGTGGGAATGGAGTAGGTTTAGAAGTTAAAATAAAAAGGAACAAATTAAAAATGTCTTCAAGGTCCCTCAGGCCTGATAAAATGCATCCTAGAATACTCAAGGAGCTAATAGAGGTGGTATCTGAGCCTTTAGCTATCATCTTTGAAAAACCATGGCGGTCAGGAGAGATTCCAGAAGACTGGAAAAGAGCATCTATAAAACGGGTAATAAGACCAGTCAGCTTAACTTCTGTGTCAGGGAAGATAATGGAGTAAATCAGTAAATCAAACTGGGTTCGAGCAACTTAGAGGGGGTCTCAGCTGGATTCAGTTTTTCACTTGTGACCCCTCTCTACCGGGCCGCAAAGAGCAGCAGGGCGGCGGAATGCAGCTGCCAGCAAGCCGTGCAGTGTGGCCAGGACCTTGGGACTCCAGGAGCACGGCTCAGCTGCAGGAGGAGGCAAGGCGGTGGGAGAGTGAGGCCCGCGCTGGAGCACGCTTCCCTAGCTAGGAGAGGGCCGGGTCCCTCAGGCAATGGGCTGGGGGATTGGGTTGGGGCAGAGGACCCAGCGGTAAATAAGGGCAAGTGAGGGGCAGAGGAGGAGGCAGAAGAGACACGGGGAGAGGAGTGGAGAACGGAGGAGAGAGAGAAGTAACCAAAGGGACATGGAACGGAAAAGAGGCACAGAGGAGAAAGAGATGGGTGGGGGGGAGGGGAGGGAAGGAGCCTGCAGGGGGGAAGGGAGTTGAGGACCGCAAACACTTTGAAGGAACCCCAGGAGGGCAAGGAGTCTGGTGAGAAGGGGGGAGGAAGCAACCCAGGGCAGTGAGGATGGGGGGGTCAGACAAATTCATTGAGCATTTTAGGGGGCTGTGGTATCACAAAGTTTGAGAACCCCTGGAGTAAAAAATTAAGGATTTAATCTGCAAACATTTGGAAGATGATAAGGTGATAGATAACCGCCCCCATGAATTTGTAAAGAACAAATCATGCCAAACCAATCTAATAGCTTTCGTTGATAGGATAATAAGTTGTGGATAAGGGAGAAGCAATGGACATGTTATACCTATACTTCAG